AATAACAGACGACGCCGCGCCGATGGGCACGCCATCATTAATTACGTTCAAATATTCTCACTCGCGCGGGAACAGCCGATCGGATCGTCGGGAACAGTATGGAAAATCGCGCAGCACGCTCGGTTGCCTATATACGTACTGGGCATGTCAAGTCCTATAATGTTACTTGATTTTCTTATGTCTGCTGATATTGTTCTGATATTTCCTTGTCCACTGGGTATGTCGTCATGTTTTAAAATATTACTTGAGCATGATTTTTCCATTTGGTACTATCAAATATTGAAACAATTGGGATGCCCATGGTACCCATATACTCTGTAATTTTGTCCAAAGATAGTGTCATACACCTTTAATAGTGTAATACACCTTTAATCCTAAATCGATGCGACGTGTAGTTTTTATGAGGCGACGATTCTTGCAAACCCGTTCATTTCACAGGTCTGCCACCTTAAGGTTTTTAATTTTGTAGTCTATGTGGACCGGTGAAAATTTGGTGGGAAGGTAGAAAATTCATCGATGCGCTCTAACAAAAGAGTCCGATCTGCTTTGCTGCTGAACCAAAAGAGTCCGATCTGCTTCGCTGCCAAACCAAAAGAGTTCGATCTGCTTCGCTACCAAACCAAAAGAGTCCGATCTGCTTTCGGCGCTCGTCGACCGCTCTGCATAAACTCTATGATATCTCAAAGCTTGATAGGAAAAGTGTATATATTTTAGGGTGTACACATTCGTAAAGGTTTGGGTAACATGCAAGTGTTTTTATTTTGTGTATATTCAAAATATCCGAGGAGTTATAGCCCTCCAAAGATGCCTGACGTTCCATCGCCGATAAGCAGATCGGACTCTTTTGGTTTGGCAGCAAAGCATATCGAACTCTTTTGGTTTCGCTGCCAAGCAGATCGGACTGTTTTGGTTCAGCAGCAGAGCAGATCGGACCCTTTCGTTAGGGCGCATCGTCATGCCTGGAAACGAAAAATTTCGAGTTGGATAAGAGGTTGTCATGAACAGACCCACAACTTAAATTTTAGTCTCGGATTGAACTGGAAGTGACAATCCTGCAAACACAAACTAGATATTCCCAACTCACAAATGGAAATAAGACTTCCGACTTCCTAACCCATACCTGGCCCCTTAGCTTAAGGCCTCGATCATATATATCAAAAAAAAAAAAAAAAAAAAAAAAAAATTGCAGAATGTATCGTTACTCTCATAACCAAAACAGATAGTCTTCAATTGTCACCAAATTTGGTTTGCAGCTTCCCTTAAGGTCCCTTAACATTTTCTGATTTTTAAAGAAAGATAATATTTAAATTTTGTACAGATATTTTTTGAAAGTATTGAACAAAAAGTAACTAGTAATGTTTTTTTCAAAATTTGAGGATTTTTTCATTCTTCAACATTAGAGAATGCTGAGGGACCTTAGCGGATGTTGAAAACCAAGTTTGCTGACGATTAAACACTATCTGTTTTTGTTACGAGAGTTACGATATTCTGCTAAAATGTTGTGATATATTTGATCGAAGGGTAGGAAACAAAATTCCAACACTGTAAATAAAAGTCGGAACTTTCAAAAAAAAAAATCTGTCCGACTAGTTTGGAGACGCGATTTTCCAAACAGTTATCGCGACTTTTCAAACAGTTGTTGGAACACAAAATTTCAAGTCCAGTTCTGGGAAATTTCCGAACAATTTGGAACAGAAGAAAGGAACCATTTTAGACCAGAACTAAGTTTAGTAGCATCAAAAATGACAATTTGCAAATATATTTTAAAATGTTTGTCAAACGTTTTTGAGAGATCTCTAAAAAGTTGCGAAATTTCCAAATAGTTCGGAAAAATGTGTTTCTAAACTGTTTGGATGTCAAATTTTCCAAACTGTTCGGGCTGCAAATTTTCCATTTCATTGTTCGGAAATTTCCAACAAAACGTTTTACAGTGAATCTTTAGCTGCGGTTGGTTTTGAATCAGTTCTCAATTCTCTTTCTAATGGTGTAGTCAGTTTTGTTTTTATTGCAAAGATTCATAGAGTATTACGTATACCCCCTCCGAATTACGCAGTTTTTGCCTCAAAATTTTAGAAATTCATCTCTCGTAAACTGTTCGAGACACGGAGCAAAGATTTGGAGTTGGAATATACTTCAGGAATACCCTTTATTTTCGAGTCAAAACCCAAAATCGGTTACCAGATTGGAGACTATTGGTGGATTAGTGAAAGAATTAATCTCATACACTCGGTCGGACTTGTCCACAGCATCGATTCAGGCTCCCCAGACAGTTCTCTTTCTTAATTTTCTAGTGATATTTTGACTTCGAGAAGTTATTTCATACAAAAATGTCATTGATTATACAAAAGGTTATAAGAATTGTAAGATTTTAGAATGATTATAGATTATAGATAAAGATTATAAAAGATTATGGATTATAGACGTGAGTGTAAGTGAGTAAAGGGTCGTGTACTTTTGATTATACGAGTTGTAGACCCCTCGCCCGCTGCGTAGCGAAGTGGTAACGTAGCGTGCAGGAGAAGCAAACCACAGGTCCATGTTCAATTCCCGCTCGGGCCATTTTTAGCAGATGATACCTTAAAAACATTTTGACTAAACATAGAGAATATATAAGTAACTTTTAGGTGTCAGCTGGCTTTTACTCTCGATAAGGACAGAGAACCAAGCGGAGACCAGAAAACAATTTATCTGCCGCTAGGGGAATCAGTGAGTGGCTGTCTGTCCGAGTGTCACGCTTAAGGCACCTTCCCCTACCCAACAATACTGCGTCGGGCAGGGCAAGGCAGAGGGCAGGCCCCGTCCCTGTACAGCAATACTAACCCACCGTGCGTCAGCGGCTGCTCTGCTCTGATCGCTCTGATCCACCCTTAGCTCATCAACGCCGCTAGTCCGCCGAATTAAAAAAATTGCAAGTAATAACAAGCAGCCATAAACAAATGACACCTAAGTATGAGAGAAAATTAGGAAACAGACCTATTCTTAAATTTGTATCATCTGCTTTCAAGATAGATACTTGATTTAGATTTTTTTTTAGTAGCTCAGTGTAGTCCTTATGGGACCAGATGCGTTCCCTCACCCGCCACTTGAATTTTCAAGATGTGGGTTACGGAACGATGATCCAACCTACAACTTGAAAATTCTTACGTGGATACTATTCTGCCAATCACAAGCCCTCTGGATTGAGGAATTTCCCTACCCATGGGTTAAGAAATTCATCCACCTATGGATCAACAATATCGCAATATCAGGCCTCTTCCGTATACTTTCTAACTAAAGAACGGATCTTACCTATTTCAGGGATAAATGGATCCACAACAACTGCGGAGTCTTCTACATCTACTTCTTCACCTACTACTGACTGGGCGCCGACTACAACTCCTCCGGCAACCGATTTATCATCTTTGCCCACACACGCCTTGTCTTCAACCGCAATCACCCCATCTTCTGCAACTTCGACCACAAGCGCGCCATCTCGTGCAACCTCGATCACTAGTGCACCATCAACCACAACCCCAACTATCACCACAACCACACCACCTACCATCACAACACGAGTCTTCACCACCACGATACCCACATCTTCCAAAACAACAGCCACTGCGACCACATTTCCCGTCACGTCCACGGCTGGCCCGACCAGACTTACCAGCAGCACAACGCCCACCACTCCCCTTTCGCCGACAACCATCCACCCCGGCCCAGTGCCAAACGCCACCACATCCATCACCCCAACGCGAGGCCCCTTGTCGTCAACTGAACCAACCTCTTTCCCTTCAGCCCCGACTACGCTCGGACCTGTAAGTCCCAGTCCCACGACAGAAGCACCGCCCTCCTCCTGGCCACCTGCGCCTGCACCATCAGACTGTCCTACGGACTTTCCACTGTCTTTCCAGTACTTGCTGATACCCGTAACGGGTCGCTGTCAGTCATACGTCATATGCTTTGATGGTTGGGGTCAGTCCATGAAATGTCCCGGGCCGCTGACATTCAGTTACGTCGAACAGAAGTGTGTTTGGTCATGGGACTTCAATTGCCGTAGTTCTTAATACGATGCGGAGGGTTGAACGTCAAAATAATTCATCGTGACGCATTGTTTTTATCGTTGCGTTACCCGTTCTCAACAAATAAATCATGAGAGTCGTTCATAATTGTGTGGTTATTATTCCCCGTGTGAGGGCGAAAACACTTTACTTTTACCACCTGTTATCTCGATGATTCGTTGAAATATCCCAAGAGATTCACAGAAAAAGAAAGACCAGGAAAAAATGAATTATTTATGATCATACATGCTGGCCATAAAAGACCATATCTAATTATTGGCTGAGCTTGCGAAGCCTTTGCTGTGATGTGGGGTGCAGAGAACTCTTTGGTCGTGTGTCTGTCTGTCTGTCTGTCTGTCTGTCTGTCTGTCGATCTGTCTGTCTGTCTGTACTGGCCCACGTTTCTCTCAGACGGTTACTTCAATTGACTTGAAACTGCGCACGAAGCTTCAGTATAAGTCGAGACGTCACGAGTTTAGTTTAGAAGTTTGATAGAAGATGTTTGAAATAAACGATCGTTTAGTTTGAATTCGTAGTTTGGTGGCGGTAGGTTGGTAGCACGGCGCTCGAGGGGAGGGGGAGCGCAAGTGGGTTCTGCGCTCACCTGAAGACTTTGATACCTTCTCAGCAGTTATTAAAATGTCAGATCGTCAAACCAAGTGTTTTATGTTTAGTTTAAGAGTTGCGGAACTCAGCTTACGAAGTTTCGCGAGTCTCCAAAGAAAAGGAACGAAAGTCATATTTGGAATAGTTTACGTGTTCACGTACGTAAGTAGGAGATGGATAGAGATAGCAACTTTATGCGTTTTAAAACCCAAAATTATGCACAAAAATAGCACCCGATTATGCGCTTATTATGCGCCTAAAAATCTGTTTTATGCGCTTATTACGCGCTGTTTTAAAACATAAAATATCAATTTTCTGACGATTTTTGGACTAAAACACGTTAAAAATGGGTGGGGGGGGGGGGGGGGGGAGTGGCTCGGGAGAAATATGGAAAGGTAACCATTGTTTCGGGTTTATCTTGACAAAAGAAAACGAAATAGTTTTATGCGCCAAGATGATCGGAATCGAAATGGCAGTGTTATGTTCAAATGTTCAATAAAGTGTTCAATCGCCCCTAGCGGCCAAACGGTGCGTCGGAGGTCAATTCTGACGGCAGTTTTCGCTTGCACCACGGTTGTATCTCTCCGAGACGAACAAGACGCACTCCTCGAACGTTCAATTTGGACCAATTTGGCCAGGGGTCAAAGTTCAAAGGTCAGGCCGGCGTGACATTTCAACTTTTTTAATTTTTTTCGACGCCAGTCGGTAGAGCTGATAGAAAAAAAAATCTCCTTTGGGAAGGCCCAGGTCACCCCTTCTGGTTCAAAATCGCGTTCAAAAAGGCCAATTGACAATTTGGTCGTTTTTCAGGGTTGCCAGCGACTCACTTTTCTCACTTTTATCCACTATTTCTTAAATGACTCACTTTTTGCTACTATTATGTGGAAACAGTCACTATTCGTCACTTTTTCGGAGGTCAAGGCGGTAAAATGACCATTTTACCGCGTCCCGTACGAAATTCCGTCAGTTTTGTTCAGAAACGTGATTCAAATTGTCGCTGTTAGTGACTGAGATGAAAGTTAGTATACGTTCATCGATTGACCCATACAGAAAACTGCTGACTGACGCATGCCGATCACTAGAAAATAACGCGGCTCGTATTTAAGTCTATGTTTAACATTTTCTAAGCGAGCTCTCAGAGCCTACATGTGATAGGGTTCAGAGACGTCTGACGACATTGAAATAAAGACGTCAACTTGTACACTCCTAGAGTACTTTTGTGCAGAACACTATTACATGATGCAGTCTCCTTTAATCGAGAATTTTTACAGTGAGTTCGATGGTGACTTCGAAAATTTAATCTGAGAGCTTGAAAAATATTCCAGAAACTCTGTAGGTCATCATCTTGGTCATCATTCAGTGATCGACAATCCAAAGTTTTCAGTGATAGTCTTTTGTTCTTGTGCTTTATTTTTTTTCCACTCAATCTTAAGTCATGATGAATGTGTGCAAAATCTGAACCATACGTTCCAAATTATAAAATTCCAACGTATAACGTCACTTTTACCCCACTTTTTAGACGTAAAAAGCCACTTTTTTGTCACCTTTTTTGAGATCAGGGTAGTCACTATTCTACTATTTTAAGGTAGGACCCCAGTGACAAAATACCGAAAATCGCAAAAACGTCGGATTAGTAAGGTTAAAAACGGTCTAGTGGCTCGTAGACCAAAAACTCGACCTTGAAGTCGTAGAACAGAGCTCCCTGATGAAAACAAGATGTGAACGAAATTTTTCCGTCAAAATTCGAGACACCTGGAACTTTTACCGTAGAGGCCTGAGACCTGTACGGGAAAAGTTCCAGGTGTCTCAAATTTTGACGGAAAAATTTCGTTCACATCTTGTTTTCATCAGAGAGCTCTGTTCTATAACTTCAAGGTCGAGTTTTTGGTGTACGAGCCCCTGGGCCGATTTTCACTTTTTCACTAGGGTCCTACCTTAAACCCCTCTTGGGCGCTGGCAACCCTGTCGTTTTTGACAGTTTTGTCAGTTTGAGGGCTAATAATTTCTCCATTTCGACTCTGACCGACTCGCCACGGCAACTGTTATTCTGCTGTTCTGCTGATACGTTTGTTATTGTGGTTATTGCCAGCCTCTTTCGCCTGCCTGTTCCTGCCAATAGGTAACACTATTTAACGTAGGGCTGGTCAGTGTCAATAACGAGTGGCTTGGAAATCGAGAGGGCTGTGATTCGAGAGAGGAGGAGTGGAGGGGGAGGAGGGTAGTGGAGGTAGAGAAGGGAGGGTGCTTTCCATTGGGCGGCCATGGAGGAGGAGCAGAGAAAAGCGCCCGGTTTGTTGATAACCCCACCAGAAACCTGAGTTAAATTGTCGGCAAGAAATAAGATCTTCTAAACAGTGCCCATCACTACAATTTAAATAAACAAGGTAAAACTTTACTATGAGATGGCATCGTTTCGTAGAGATAAACTTGGTCAAAATAATACAAACTTTTAACTATTTGTAATTTGTATTTTTAAAATATAGATGTAATAGTAGATACACTTGGTCAAATGTCATCTCATGTCTTTAATGAAGTAATATTTCCATAAAGGTTTAACATTAGGTCGTTCGCGATTAGTTCAAATTGCTCTGTTTGTAGGGATACACCTGGTCAAATGTTTTCCTTTAAAATTAAAGGAATTTTTGATCAACTGTGCAGCATTACAGAGAATTCACATTAAGCTGTTTAAATCTCAAGCTTGGGAGCCAATATTAC